ATGGCAAACCAGTATTTTTGCCAAGAAAACCTCATGGACAGTATGGTCCATGGAGTCAGGAAGAGTTGGACACAATTAAACAACAACATTTAAGTGGAACCCAGTATTCCTTGAGGCTCTCCATTCTACTTTCATTCATCTCTGATTATTAGGAAGGTTTTGTTGAAATTTGCCTCTCTACCACTTTCACCACTGCTGCTAATTCTGCCTCTGGGGTCATCTGTCCCTGCATCCGCATAGTGGTCTCAGACTTTGCCTGAAAGCAGTTTAGGTAAATCATACCTCTTCTACTACCTGTGAAATGAGTGCTTTGGGGCAGCAGCTTCTGTCACACTTGGGCAGCCTCTTGGGACTTTCCTACCGTGGCTTCTGTGCTGTGTACATCACTTTGCTGTTCATAGGCAGAAAGTCAGCTCAGTTCCATTCTTCTTCTTCCTGGCACATCCTGATGCTGCAGCAGAGAACCCAGCTTTAAATTCAGAACAGCAAAAACAGAAACAGTTGTTAAGTGTCAGTGAAAGCTGTGACCTTGCTGTTGTCAAACAAGCAGAAACATCATTAGCATGTACAATCAGACTAATCCTGCACAGTGTTTAGCGCTCCCGCCAGGGAGGTTATAAGGATTTTGTGACTTCTAAGGCATCAGTGTAATCGACAGACTTTAATGCCTTCTGGCTCCAAAGGCTCTGTGTCTAAGCCATTTTGCCACCATATTGGCTATATTTGGGATTCGGGCAATAAGCAAACTGGTGCCCCCAGCTGAGGATTGCCTCTCCATTTCTCTCTTTGTCCTTTTATGCTGAAGAAGAGATATCCAGACCTTGTTACTCTTAGCTCATTGTTTCATGGTGAAAAGCTGAGGGACAGGGAGGACATGTCTTTAATGATCTCCCATTTCAACCTTCTCTGCCTAGATCTTAAATGCCTCTATGTTCTGGTTCCAATCTACCTTTTAAGCCTTATCTCACACTATTCACCTCCTTGTACTCATACCCCAGCCAAAGTGATTATTCAGCATCCCCAAACATGTCCTGTGCCCAATATCCAGTGTAGTCTCCTCCCTCCCCACTGCCATTAATATCCCAGCTGTCGGCCCATAGTGCTGTTGTACAATCTCCTTCGTGCAACCACACCCAGCACCCCACTGTAGTAGTACTTCCCTTCTGATGCCACCTTCCTCCCATCCCGTGTGGCAGCAGCCTCCAGATGCATCCTCTCTCCTTGAAAAATTGTCCTCTGAACCACCAAAATTCACTCTCCCCCTTACCAGTTAAATTTTAAATTGGAAATCCTCAAAATTAAAGGTGAGATTAATAAAATTGAGTGAAAAAAATCGTTGAATTAATAGATAATTGAATTACTAAATAAAACTGGTTTTGTGAAAAAAATCAAATAGATAAACAAATTTGGTTTTAAAAAAAGAGGGCAGTAAACCAAATCACTAGTATCAAACGTGAAAAGGGTGAATATACCCCACAACTGGTTTTTATACCAGATGAAAGGATTCCTCATTAGAGCTCTCTACCTTCCCAACTATGCACCTTTGCTTGCACCATTCCCTGGGCCAGAAACCCTCTCTACTATCACCAGCCCCACTCTGCCTCCACGGTCTCTGCTTCTTGAATCCCTAGCCATCCTTTGAGACTGAGCTCAAATGCCCTTCCAACACCCCTTTTGCTTCCCCCGCTCTCATCCTTCCCTTTAGATACAGTCCTTCCATAGAGCTCCTGTAGCACTTGACAGCTCTCTTGTTGACTGATCTAATATGTTCCATTTTGTGCTGTAATCTTTTCTGCAACAATGTCTAATTTGATCCTTGTGTTTATTTCTCCTAGCACCTAGAGCAGTGTTTTGGCCATAGAAGGTACTTAATTATATGCTGTCTGAGTTCCATTCACTCAATCACTAGTACAGCCCTAACCATTCAAACTGAGAGTAAACAAGCCAGGTTCATATTTTAAATTCCATTTGAAAAAGAAAAGCCACTTACGGTGAATGATACTGAGTAGCATTTACAGCAGGAAGCAGGTGATTTTCCAGATTGATTTTAATGTGAATCGTTTAGCATTGGTTTATCCTGAGCAGGCACCATCTGATTTATGGAAATCATTTCCTCACTATTAATGGTATTAATCAGACGAGCCTGTGTAATCAGCAGAACCATTACTTTGAAACCAAGGGAGGGGAGAATTCCTCATTTCTTCTGGACATCATGAAGAAACAAGTGGAGAATAGGACCATAAAATGTTTTTCTTAAGACTGCCTTGCTTGTGACATGAAATTTCTCGACAGAGGCAGCTCCAACCAGCTTGCAAATTGTTAAATTTGCTGTGTGAGCATATACACCTCAGTAATCACTAAACACTGCAAATCAGGGCTTGATTTATTGTATTGTTTGATGGTCTAGGTTTGAGAAAGTGATGAAGAAAATGTTAATGATGCAGATTAAATTTTAAAGTGTGTCCTGCCGTGCATTTTTTTTCTGTTGTCAAACATTCACCAGCAGACCCCAAGTTGTGCCCCACTGTCGCCTATGGAGATAAGTGATTCTATGCCCCTCCTATCCCTATCCCTAGCAAAACGAGTGCTAAAAGAAAGTAATAAAAAGATCACCACAGAAAGGAGAAATGGTAATGGAATCACAGTAAGATGTTTGGCACAAGCCAAAAATGGATTTCTCCTCACACCCTTCTCTATGCACCATGGATGATTTCAGTTGCTTGAAGAATGTGCAAAGAGTAGGAGTTGTTTTAATAGGTAGGATCTCTGGAGCCCTCCCTTCATAAATCTCTGCTCATCCCAGGTATAGCTATATGTATATTATAGTACATACATATGTACATATGTAATATGTATGTATATACATATGTATATACATACATATTACATATGTAATATGTATGTATATACATATGTATAGGTATCAAATGAGGTAATGTATTGAAGCATTCTGCAAACCTTAAAATTCTATATAAACATGAGCTGTTATTTTAATGTTCAGCATCATTTGAACCATTAGTCATTACAGAGAAAGACATATTTGTGTTTTAAATAAAATTGGGGGGAGGAAGATATCGTCAAAGTTGGGCTGGGGGAATGGAGCCAGGATTAAAAACTGGAGAAGGGAATAGACAAGAATCCCAAACAAAAAGTCAAGAAATGTGAGTCCTAAGGCCAATGTTTCTACTCCCTTGCCTTGATTTTGTCACAGAATCCTAACGTTTTAGAGATAGGAGGGCCTTTGTCCCTTCCAGCTTCCCATTTTACAGATGAGGAAAACAAAGCCCCAGAGAAGTCAGTGGCTAACAATTTGCAGGTGTCGCAACCTTTATAATCAGCAGGGGTTTTTGGTTATATTTAACCCAAATTCTTTCTCTGAAGCCTGTCCTTTTTTGCTTTTCTCCTCAGCATCTGTGAATAAGGTAATCATGGCTTAACATCACTAAAACTGAGAAGCAGTGATTGATTACTTAGAGAATTAAGAATAGATGTAGCTGAAGATCCTTTAATATACATTAAAGATCTGTGACTTCATCAGTGTTGATACATATACCTTCTACCAAGTTCAGATAGCATTCCCTTCCTTGCCTTACTTGACAGCCTGCATAGGTTGCAGTGGTATAAAAGTCAATACATCATCTGCTCCCAACACCCCAACTACAAGTCTCTCTGAACATAGATGGTCTTCAAATGACAAGCATCCAGTCAATTGCTGTGCCTAAATTTGCAGTCTTTCCTGTTTGGTAAGACCTGTCCATCTGTCCACACTGGCTTGTCCCTTGAGATAGCCTCAAGTACCTATTCTGGGGCATCAGATAGAGATGGAGACATTGATAGAAATTTTTAGAAATCCTCAGGCCTTGAAGTTTCTCACTAGAAACTCTTTCCAGAGCCCCGATCTAACAATCTCGCCAGCAGTGGAAATTGGTAACCGGTAGGAATTAACAGCATTTGTGTGTCGAGAATTCCATTAATTACAACACGTCACTAATTCCCAATGGAAGACTCTAGGAGGCCTGGCATTCCTTCCAGAACTTTCTCCTCACAAACACTTCATCACAAAGGGCAGTGGAGAATTCTTGATAATTGCAAGCTTATTTCATAATCACTAAAAGCTTCAGAAAATACAAGCCTCTCTGTTACTGCCCACTTGCACTGTGTTAAGTGTTATCATTCCTGGACCTTTTTATAAGAATGAAAGTATGTGGTTACCTCCTTGGGTTCCATTCATATTTCCCATTCCACTCACTGATACTCATATTCTTATGTGTAGGTTTTTCTTCCTACTCTTCTTCCTGCTGGCTTGAGGTCATGCCACTCTATGGTCCTTGGTGATGTTTTATTTGTCAAGGCAAAAATAAAAATAATAATAATAATAATAAAGTATGTGCCTGGCACAAGAGTGTCATTTCTGATCCTGTTCATTTTGTCATTTCATAGTCTAATAAAGCTCTGATGGTGGTGGGGTGGAGACCAGAAGAAGAAGAAGGCCTATTGTACTAAGTAGTTGAGACATGCCCTGTTAAGTCTCCATTGACTGGGGATTTCTTTATGCTTTAACTGGGACTGAGAAAACTGGGCATAGGGCTCAAAATTGACTACATCATCGAGAGGGAGAAAAGAAGTCATAGTCCTGGTTGAGAAGTCAGCAGTGAGAGGAAGCAAATTCTGTGAAGACGTGTGTCCAGTCTAAGTTTCACTCAACTTGCCTAGAAGGCAGAGGGGGTGGGGGCAGGGAACAGGGAAGGAGGGGCTAATGAAAGGAGGAAGGAGGAGGGTCAGCTTTACCATGACACAACACACTGTGCCTTTCCTGGGGTTTGAAATAGAGGAACTGAGAAGAAAAGTGTCCTCGGGGAGATTCAGCCCTTCAGAACACATGATGGACCGAGCTTGTGCTCCATGCCCCCTGTTTCAAGTGTGGAGAAGGGTCAGTGAAGAATAGCGATTTGAGAAGGATGTGATATGGTCCAAAAACTTTTCCTGGATTTTTTCCGCAGGCGACTGAGCCAGAGGCCGACTGCTGAGGAATTGGAGCAAAGAAACATTCTGAAACGTAAGTGACTTCTAAGAATCTCTGGTCTTTGGGGGATGTTGTAGCCACTTTACACACACACACACACACACACACACACACACACACACACACACACACTTCTGGGTACAGCTCTGATTAAGGGAACATCTACTATGATGAGGACACCAAAACCAAGTTCCCAATAAACATAGCAAGTCAACAGTGGCTGTCCTCACTTAAACCTTACAAAATGTGGACATTATCTTATCACAGTCATTTTAACTATGGTCTTATGGCCAGAAATGCCAAGTAAAATAGAGGAGGAAAATATATCATCAGCAAAAGAATTTTGTTTTTTAGAGGGCCACTTTGAAAAGATCAGTAATAGACTAAAAAGAAATCAGAGAACAATATTGATTACCAAGATAAGGGAACCACCAGCAGAACAGCTGGGAGAGAATAAAGTTTGTTGAAACTTTGATACAGATGAAGTTGGTCATCCTTTTGACCATTAAAATTGGAGCTAAGAAAGTATGTCCAAATACATTCCAAAGTGCTTATTCTCTGTTTCTTAAAATTCCTACAACTTGGTAATGATATTCCTGCTGGATGCTGAACCTCAGGAATAGCCCTACTTTCTCTGTAGTAGTGGATTTTAAAAACAAATAAGCCCTTTAGTTCAAGAAAAGAAATAAGTGGAGATTTATTGAGAACAGTCATTTAATATTAAAATGTTTTTTAAAAAACATACTGCTAAAAAATAAAGGAGACAGTTGCTTCATGAAACCCAGTAGCTTTCATTGTAGTCATGCATAGGAAACATTTAGAAAATCAAAATTTATCTCTGCCTCCACCCTCCCCAATACCAGCTGCTGCCTATCTCTTTGTCATAATAGCTATCTCAATTCACTTTACTCTCTCTTTCTATGTGATTATATTTGTGAATCTTTCTCTCTCTCTAAATATATATATGTATGTATTTGTGTATGTGTATATACACATATACATGTATATATCTATATATACATAGATAAATGTATGAATGTGTGTAAATAGTGTATATACATGTGCAGAATACCATGTGGACATACAGCATACATGTACACGTGGTAGTAACTAGGACTGCACATATATATATATGTATGTATGTATACATGTGTGTATATGCATTTATCTGAATTTGTGTTTCATGCATGTAAAGAACACCAAGAATAGAAGCTCCATCTATGAATGCAAATCAACAATTCATTTGTTATTTTTATTCTTAGAGAGTTTCTGTGGGCACTGAGAATTTAAATGATTTGTCTATGATACTACAGCTAGTAACTGGTCTCAGAGGCTGGGCTCAGACCCAGGTCTGTCTGAGTCCAAGGCTAATTACCTATCCAAGGTGCCCTGGTGCTTCTCATATAGATATGAGGCAAGTTGCCCTAGGAAATTTACACACATGTATGTATGTATATGTATGTGTATTTGTATCTGTGTATATATATGTATGTATGTATTATGTGTTGTATGTTATGTATATGTGTGCATTTATATGTATAAATACACACATGCATATATACATTTATAAGTACATGTTGTATGGACATATATGTATAGATATATGGGTAATGACATGTGCAAAATATGTATGTATATCAATACTGATTGCTAAAGAACTACCTCATGGGTCAGAAAGTACAGTAAAAGAAATTGAACTTTTTGTAGTTTTGCCATTACTGATCTTTCTCATACATTTTAATTTTTTCTCTAGGAAAGAAAAAAATACACACTTCTACATATATGAGTATATGTATATATGGAGAGAACATATGACGTCCTATTTTAATAACTGGGGGCTCACCCTCTCATTAACATTACAATTTCTTTGATTTTACTTTTTCTGTCAAACTCCTTATTAATGTAATGAAACAACTTGGTCAATCCTGAGTTCCTTGAGGCATAGGAAGATGAGAGGACAGTCTAGTATAAAGATTTTTCAAGCTAACTCTATCCCAAAGCATCATACTTATGTTTTCTATCTTCACCCCCCCTTCCACATGGTTTCTCCTCACCACCCCTTGCCTCCCCCTCAGTCAGAGTTTATTCTGAAGATGCATCCAGTGCTTGCCACACTGCAAGGGAGTTACTTCTATTTTCGTGGGTATTCATGAGTCCCCTTAGAAAGTTTCTTTCTGAATGGGAAATTAGAAGGCAAGAGGTAAAAGCAATATTTCCTAAGAGAGAACTGGAATCTTTTCTACATGATTTTCATTGTCAGGGGGAAAATTCCATCAAGATGGTGTCAGTCCCTTCAGCTCCCATCTGATCTTCTCTGATCCTTTATATACTTGTTACTGTGTAAACTGGAGGTGGGAAAAGACAGAGAAATAATAAACCTGCTTGAGGTCTCTCGTTTATCTCAGAAATCAAACAAACACACATATAAGCAAGCCACCTTTATTTTCCCATTTCTTCTTCTCTCTTGGCCCCAAGAAGCACCAGATCTCAAGGCCGCAGTCAACTTTTGAAGCATACTTTGAGATTTCAGAGTTTGCATCAAAAATGGTATCCCTATAGTAAGGCTTTCCACCTGGACCTAGCCAAACATCATAGAGCCAGAGCTGGGAGATATCTCTGAGGCCATGGAGGGCAAACATCTTAGTTTATAGATAAAAAGCCTACAACCCTTGGGCTGTGATGTGAAGAGTCGTGCCAAAGTCATGGAAGTATTATCAGAGACAGGATTTAAACTTTGGCCCTCTGTCCCTGTAGACAGTTCTCTTTCACTATCACCACACTACCTCTGAGCAAACTGAGACAACCTTCATGGAAATGCTTACTTTCCACATGACAACAATAATAACTCTTGGCATTTATACAGCAAGTTAAGATTTACAAGGTGTTATCTCACTCGACCCTCACAGGCCTGTGAGGTAAAGCATGACAAATGTTAACCCCATTTTACAGATAAAAAAACTGAGGCTGGCTGATGTGAAGGGACTTGCCCAGAGTTACACGCAATTAGGAAGTGTCTCGGGTAGAATTCAAATCCTGGTGTTCGTGACTACGAGTCCAGCAGCCTGGCAGGCATTCTCTTTCAGAAGCAGTGACAAGGCTGTCTAGGAAACGGAATGAAAATCCCACAGCACCCTCCCCCCCAATTCCCAGCTTGACAGCCAGTCATTTATGTCTAGGAAGCACACTGAGGTTAAATGACTTGTCTGTGATACCGCAATTAGTAACTGGTCTCGGATCCAGATCTGTCTTCCTGATTCCAGGTCTCATACCTATCTGAGACATTTCTTACCTAGACTAGCCTGGCAGGCTGGGCTTTGGGCAGCATCCATTCCTGCAACAGGCAGAGATTTAGCTATAGACTAAGGAAATCTGGGGTTGAAAAAAAAGGAAGCTTGTTTTAAGTTTTTTTTCCCTGCTCCCTGCCCCACAGCTCAGAGCGTTCTTCCCCCCGAAAGCCCTGCTACCTCAAGCCAAGCCTGACAAAATTCAAGTCTTCATCCTTTTACCATTTTCTAAAATCCAGAGCTTTTCTAAAACTCACCCCAAACCATGAGGGACAAAATTCTGGCAGACTTTTTTAAATTGATCATTTTTTTAAAATATAGAGAATTCTAGATCCTTTAGATAGATTTTGTGGTTGTTGTGGTTATTTTTATGTGCTTTGGATCCCTGTAGGCCCCTCAGTAAAGGAGAAAATTAATTGGATTGTAGTACCCAGACTGCAGGGTTTGAGCACTGCCCCTGACACTGTGTGATTAACTGTGTGATCTTAGAGACAGCTAGGCAGCACAGTGGATGGAGTACCTGGCCTAAGGAAGATTCATCTACCTGAGTTCAAATTTGGCCTCAGACACTTAAGCTTGCTTGCTTCAGTTTCCTCATCTGTAAAATGAGCTGGAGAAGGAAATAGCGAACCGCTCCAGTATCTCTGCCAAGAAAACCGCAAATGGGGTCATGAAGAGTCAGACACAACTGAAAAAAACAAAAATAAAAAAAATAACCGAACAACTGCAACTTAGGAAACTCCGCTCTATTTCTCGGAGTCTCAGTTTCCTCATCTATAAAATGGTGGTAATAATATTTATACTAATGTTATTGTGAGGATTAAATGAGATAGTGCACGTACACAAAGCACTTCATTAGCCTTAAAGCATTCGATAAATGTTGCCTATCGCTATTGTGGTAAAAGAGACAATGATCTGGCATGAGAGACAGAAGTCATAAATTGGAAGTTCCAGAACTGGATTTAGAATGAGATCTAAATTTAAATCCTACCTCAGTCGTATCCTGGCTATGTAAACTTAGCTAAATCAATTGATCTTTCTCTGTACCTCAGTTTCCTCATCTGTAAAATGAGAGAATTGGGCTAGATGGCCTCTATGGTCTCTTCTAGTTCTAAATCTATGAACCCTGGACAGGCAACAACCTTTCTGATCCTCAGTTTCCATATTTAGAAAATGGAGCTAATAATATCAGTAGACCAGTCTTGCCAGGACTGTTATGGTAACCACATGAGACAATCAATGACTGTGAAGCACTCAGTAAATCATTGTTGTTTCTGTTCCGTCATTTCAGTCATGTCTGATTCTTCCTGACCCCATTTGGGGTTATTTCCTTCTGCAGCTCATTTTAGGCCAGAACTCAGGTCTTCTTGACTCCAGGCACTCTTTCTAGTGCACCACCTGGCTGCCCTAGCAAACCTTTAAGAGACATATAAATAACGATTAGCCCTAACCTGCTCCCCTTCTACTTCTTGTACAGCAACATCCTAGGTATATGAGCACATAATGAACACTCTTAACTGATACTGACCACAGTAGTGAGGTCAATGACCCTCCCTATGACAACCCCTGTATTTATTACATTCCTCCTGTTTAGAAAGTGCTTTTATCTCCAGAGGTGGCTTTAGGCAGTCTAGGCTTTTATTTCAGGAGCTTTGTTAGTGGGCCAGCTAAGATTCCCAAGCTCACCATGCTATTCATGGAATGTATGCCCCATGGCTTCTGGGCATTGGTCAGTGGCAATCAGAGGGAGTTAACTTCCAGCCTAAAGTTTGTCCCATACAATCATCTGCAAGGTTAGTCATTCTTCCTCAAAAATGTGAGGTTGGGTGAAGGCAGTGTGGTGTATTTAAAAAAATGCTACTGGCCTGGACATCAGGAGACCAGAGTCCTGTCTTACCTGTGCCCTCTTCAGCATGTCACTTGACCTCTTTCTCACTCATAAGATGAGAGGACTGGACAAGATTATCTTTAAGGTATCCAGCATTCTGTGCTTCTTTGAATTTGACTTTGGCTGTGACCTATCACCTCTACGCCCAGGAGTCCCGGGGCCCCGTGCTCTTGTGTTTCCGCCATGTCTTTTCAGAAGCTCTCCCTCCTCCCATTCCAAACCCCCAACACCTCAGGGGACACCCCATCCATGCCTGACCTCTCCTAGAAGGTCAGAGTGCTACAGGTCTCCCCAGCAGTCCTTCTTCTTCACTCAGAATTTCTCTCTCCAGTGTCACCTTTCGTGGCCACTCTTGCCTTGTGAAGTAACCCTAATTTCCAACACAATAATTCATATGTCATAAATTATTTTAATGACTGCTAGTGGCTTAATGTATTTTCTTTCCAAAAGGCGTATTACATTTTGAAAGGTGACTCATAGGAAATTATCTTTAAACCCAATATAATCCCTAAAAATGGTAATTTTCAACATTGTGTCAGGCTAGTGGGAAAGAATCCTTTTGGTAATCATTAGGTTTGGTCAAATTTTTTTTTCAGGGGGGGAGGAGGTATATAGCCTTTTGATGACATTCCTCAAATCATATCATGTAGGCAACCAACCTCTTACTCTGTTTTCATGTAAGACTGATTTTGATCAGGGAATTGTCCCTTCCCTGTGAGGTGAATCTAATCAATGTAAATGTCATTGATAATCATGGCAGCCTGGCTCTATTCCTCGTTTCACTTTCTAACTTTGTTACCTTGTCCAAGCCAGTTTGGAACAGTAGACAGTGGATTAAGGTCAAAGGAACTGGGTTCAAATCTTCAGTCTACTGTTCACTGTGACATGTATATCCTTAGGCAAATGACTTAACCTCTGTGTAGCAGTTTCCTCCTTATCTGTAAAATAGATATTGTACTAGATAATCTCTGACTTCTCTCTCTCTCTCTCAAAATATATATATATATATACATATATATATATATATATGCATACATACACACACATATTCAACATATTTGTTGTTGTTTTCAGTCGTGTCTGACTCTTCATGACCCCATTTGGAGTTTTCTTGGCAAAGATACTGGAGGGGTTTGCCATTTTCCTTCTCCATCTCATTTTCTTTTTTTTTTTAATTTTTTTAAAAAATTTTTTATTTTTAGGCAATTGGGGTTAAGTGACTTGCCCAGGGTCACACAGCTAGTAAGTGTCAAGTGCTTGGTCTGAGGCCAGATTTGAACTCAGGTCCTTCTGACTTCAGGGCCGGTGCTGTATCCACTGTCCAACTAACTGCCCCTCCATCTCATTTTCACATAAGGTTAAGGTTAAGTGATTTGCCTAGGGTCACACAGCTAGTCAATGTCTGAGGCCAAACTTGAAGTCAGGCCTTCCTGACTCCAGGCCCAGCACTGGATCTACCTAGGTACCCTGTTCTCCATATGCAAATGAGAAAAGATAAATGTCTTTTGTTTTTGCTCCCTCTCAGAAGTTCAGTCAATCAAAACCTCTTTGAAATGTTTCCCTGTGCCACTATTAACTGTTTGGTATCCTATAAGCAAGAAGCAATCTGTCAAATCAACAAGGACTTATTAAGTGCCTACTATATGCTGGGTCCTCTGAGGCATTGTCCAAGGTCATACTGAAGCAGAATTTGAATCCAGGTCTTGTGACTTTAGAGGCAGTGCTCTTTCCACTGTTCTGCATTGACTTCTAGGATAGGATGATTTAGTAAGGGCCTTCAGTGAACCAGAGAGAAGGTTTGCTCCCCTCCAAGCCTAAGCTTTCTTTCCTCAACCATCTTGAATCTGGTTCTTAAAAAATGAGCAATTAATCCTTCTACCTCACTGACCCTACAGTAGCACATTCATAAATTAATTTCCTGAGCTCTTGGGGCACTTCCTATGAGAATGAAAATAGCCACATGCTACTGCATACATCAATTTAACAGCCCAGACCCAAAAACACCACTTTAGTTATCTGGATGGTTCTAAGGGTTTACTCAGGGAATTTCTGAAAGTAGAAGTTTCTGGAATTTCTCCCTTCTGACCTCCACTGAGGTCTTAGTGTCAGTTTAGCTTTTTTGCTTTGCAGGTGGTCCCCTTTAGGTACCCTCAATTTTGCCCCCATGCTGAGTTAGGGAAGAGACACACATCAAAATGAGCCCTAGGCTTGTCTCTGTGAGGCAGCAGAACCTGTAAGTTGTAGCTAACTCTGAAATGGGTTGGCTGGGCAATGAAGCAAACCAGCAGCCACATTAAAGGAAGAAAACTATATCCTGTTTCATTCCCAAAGCCTGCTCAAAAGTTTTCCATGTGTTTCTTGTAATATCATGATTATTTTCATCCTCTGATAGCCAGGCCAACACGCTTACTCATTGCGTGGGGACTGGTAACCAAAAGAAATAAAGAAACCACAATTAGAAGTTTAACAAGTACCGTTTAGACCATGCTGAATGAGTACAGACAATTTGGAAAGCTTTCCTAACATATATGATGAAAGAAAGGCAAAAGACCAGAAGAGATTAGAGGCAGGGACCATCCTATTCTCAGAAGAACCTTTTCATGGAATGTGAAGTACCCTGTAAGAGCAGTATATAAGAAATAAATATGCAAATAAAAACTTCAATGATGCACCTCTATTTTGGCCACTTACAAAAAATCAAAAGAATCTTGTGTATCTCTTCCAGCTCGGAATGAACAAGAAGAGCAAGAAGAAAAACGAGAGATCAAGAGGCGGTTAACCCGAAAGGTGAGAGGGGACTGACCGATAAACCTGGAGGAATTGATTGGAGATGCCAGGCCACCCCTTTCCTCCCTTTGTTGGCCTCTGGGCATTGCTTCTGTGGTCATTTGGTGGCCATTTTCCATCAGCAACCTACAATGCAACTTCAATGCCATTAGCGAGGGGTAGCCCTCACTTCTGGCTAGATCTTGCACCCAACTTTTTAGGTTAATCATTCTGAGTCCCCCGGAGAGGGTGACACTCGCTGTCTATTTTATTCTCAATTAAAGTGAATTTTTTAAAATCTATTATTAAATTTTCAACACACTGTCATGACCCCTTAACCCTATACAGTAGGAGTCTCTCAAAACTACCAATCTAAATAGAAAACTGAATTCTCCAGTAATCAGAGAATGGATTCCTCCATTCTTATGATATGATGTTTCTTGTCCTTCTGATAAATGCACTTAGGTTGCCATCCAGACTGAATTACTCAACGAATGCAATGCTGAGATCGTTCGGTCAAAGGAAAAAGTTTCAAAAGTCAATTGGTCAAAAAATACCTGGTTTTTAAAGCACCCAGTTCAAAAGTTTGGCAACTGAAGTATTACAATGCTTGTAAAAATATAAGGGCTTACTATAAAACCTCTTAAAACAATAAGACCCTTCATTGAGTTATTCTAGGTTAGCTCTTTGGCGATATTCACAAGAGTAATGAATCTATGAGACACTGAAGAAGATAGAAAACCACATTCATAGAGAATAGAGTGCCAGACTTGGAGTCAGGAAGACTTGAGTTCAAATCCTTCCTCAGTCACTTAGTTATGACCCTGAGTCACTTAACCTCTTTCTGCCTCGGTTTCTCCATCTGTAAGATGAGGATAGTAATAGCACCTGCCTTATGAGGTTGTTCTGAGGACAAAATGAGATTGTAAACCTTGAAGTGCCATATAAATGGCAGCTATTTTATTATTATTATTAAACACAATATCCTTAGCCTCTTATAGTCAGCATTTTCAGAGAACCAATATCCAAACCTTGGAGACAACAGATCCTTTAAAATTAATAAATATTTATTAGTGGATCTTTATTTTTCTCTATTAGTTATACAATTAAGGCAACTTAGGGAACCTGTGAAAATCATCCTTACTAAAAAATTTTGATGTGTGTTTACAAATCTCACCTTCCCAAGTGCTTTTCCAAACTTATGGTGCCAGCACAGCATTCCCCAAGATCAAGTGACTTGCTCAGCCTCGAAAGTGTAGAAAGACCTTTAAACAGGGCCTCAATCCTTTAAATTCTCACCCATTGTTTTGGAGATCAACTGTAGCCAGATTGAAGACTTTGGAAACATTTGCCATCTTCATGTAGTACAGACTGTAGTTCCCTGTCCCATGAGTCTATAGAACACTACCTTGTTGGAGAGGCAGTGTGGCATATAGTGCAAAGAAAGCCGAGCCTAGATTCAGGGAACCTGGGTTTGAATCAACCAGCTCAGCTCTAACCCCATGACCCTGGGCTATAGGCTGACTAGTATATCTCATTCATAAAAAGGAGATTATCAGTCCAATGAAGCACAAAGGACCTTGGGCAAGTCACTTAACCTTTTTTGAGACTCAAGATTCCTGATCGTTAAAATGGGGATGATAATATTTCTACTCCTTGCCTCATAAGAGCTATGGGAGGGAAGTATTTTGCAAAAAAAGTTAAAGTGTTAACCAGGCATAAACTATCTCCAGCAAAGGGCTTGGACATATTCCCCTGGGTTCTGTATTCCACCCCTTCCTTGGCCTTTGTAGCAAGTAAAACAAGTTGGCTTATGTCTCTAAAAGGAACAGCCTAACAGCTTAATTGAAATGATTGAAAATAACTAGTTGCTCCCCAAAATTTTAGGAACTCAAAAGAAGTTTTAAAATTTAGAAGTCATGATTGATTAGATACACCAATTCCTTAAAATTTCAGGTTTGTTTGAAAGAGTGAAGTAAGCCTTATACAACTTTACGGAGTCTCAGGTCAAACACCTAAGCAATAACTTATCATTGTCAGGGCCAATGGTGATGAATTTTTCATGGTGGACCAGGCAAATCCAAAAGGAAACAACCCTAAAAAGCAACAATAGTTGGGTCATTTTCTCAGGTGCCCAAAGCAAGATTTAAACCCCCTCCCATCTTCCCAAAGGAAATCACTTCCTGCATCATCATTTCCTTTTTAGCCACCCTCAATAGTTATCAAGTCTGCTGCCTGAGAACTAAATTGTGGGTGCCTGCCTGAGTGAAGGGACGACTTTGTGCAGTGTGGTGTGAGAGAGGGAAGCATGAGAAGGCAGCTTCCCTGAATACAGTGTGGTCACATATCTCCATTTGCAGCCCCAAATTGTGAGAGGCTGAGCTGAAGTGAGGAAGTTGATGAGCAGGGTGGGGAATATACATTGCTTCCTGTCCCATAGTTCTATTTCTTTTGAGCCCTTATCACAGACAAGCCAGATGCTGGTTTTGCTGCTGCTTACTAGACACCTTCCTCCTAGCCCTCTGTTTTCCTCAATAAATCACCCCACTTAAGTTTATAATAAATTCTGTAAGGCAGGAAAGCAAATAGTATAGTGCCTGGTGGGCTTTTTAGTAGCAGTGGCAGCTGCATCCATCATAACGTTCCTACTAAGTAAGGTAGATTTTTAGTTTGGTTGTGTCCAGAGAGGAGCAAACCTAGAGAGAATAGTGGTCCTTCCTTTCCTCCTTTCTCCCTGCCTTGGGTTTGGCTTTTAGAAACTAGCAACTCTTTGGTCTCAATGAATTTCTTAGCTTTGGTGGGTGTGAAATTATACCTTTTTATTGTAAAAGCCCACAAGTTGAAAGAAACTGCTACCTACTCCCAACCCCTGGTCCACTTCAAAACACCACTGCTCCCCACAGACCTAAGCTTGGAGGAAAATCTGATTCCCTCAGATGACACAGAGCATAACTATGGACATGTCTTCCCTCCCACATGTCCTCTCCCCAAGTCCCCTTTCCCCGCAGCCTAACACCATGTGCATAACTAGCTGCAGACACACAGTTGTGTCTCCTCATTGAGGCCCAGCAGAAAGATTCAGTCTTAATAAGATGGATTTTAGTATCCATTTATTACAAGGGCTCCACACAGCAAGGGGCTTTCTCTGGCTTTTTATTTGACCTAAGGGCAGAAATTCCACTGCCCATCATTAGCTTTTAAACTGAGTTGGCTATTCATGCCAAAAAGCCTGCAACAAACAGCTCAGTGGAATGCAGCATTTTGGATTGCAGGGCAGTTGGACATTGAAAGCCTTACCAATTCCGTAAATGCCAAGAGAGCTACACTTACTTGCAGCCCCGATGGCGACAGGGAGCTTAGAACAGGAGTTATAGTCGCCACAAGCCTCTTTGCTTAGCTGTTCTAAGAGCAGTGGACCTTAATGAATGTTTTGCTTTATTGTTTTTATGATTATAATAGGAAACTGTTGTAATTAGGGGCACCCCAAATGCCGCACCTTCCCCTTGCAGCCTTCACTGCAACAAGGCAGGTTACATCAGATCATGCTACCTGCTTTCAGCTCCACATCTTAGGGTGACCGAATGAGACCAGAGTTGATGTGAAGCTTCTCTAGAGACCAGCTTCAGTCTGAGTAGGTAATCTCCAGCACCCTCTAGACCCAGAGTTTTTAACCTTTTTTGTGTGTCATAGGAGGAAGAGAAGCAGGGAATCAACATTCACATAATACCTATATGTGCCAGGCACTATAATAAGCATTTTACAAATATGATCTCATTTGGGGCAACTAGGTGGCAAAGTGGATAGAGCACCAGCCCTGAAGTCAGGAGGACCTGAGTTCAAATCCAGCCTCAGACATATAACACTTACTAGCTGTGTGACCCTGGGCAAGTCACTTAACCCCATTGCCTCGCCAAAGGGAAAAAAAAATAAACAAATATGATTTCATTTGATCCTCTCAACAACCCTGGGAGGTAGGTGCATTATCATCCCTATTTTACAATTAAGGAAATGGGAAAGAGACAGAGGTTAAGTGACTTGCCCTGGGTCATACAGTTAATAAGTGTCTGAGGCCATATTTGAACTCAGGTTTTCTTGACTCCGGGCCCGGTGCTCTATCCACTGTGCCACCCCAAGTTACCTCTCATGAACCCCTTTGGCAGTCTGGTGAAGCCTGCCCTTTTCAAAATAATGTTATAAAATGACATAAAATAAAATAGGATTACAAAGGAAGCCAATTACATTGAAATTTGGTTAAACTTTTTTTTTTTTAAGAAAACAACCAAATTCACAGATCCCAGGTTAAGACCCTCTGGTGTTTCTATGTATATTCTCCTAGTATTCTAGGTCAGCTTTAGACTCCAGAGACCTGCAGGGGTGGGGAACATGTGGCCTCCAGGCCTCAGGTCATCCAACCCTGTGACCTAGACTTCCCCAGGTCCTAATGGCCTTGGGAGCATTACACAAGCCTGTTACCCAATCTGGCTTCCATGCAATGCCTATTGCTTCCCCTGTGTCCTCCAACTGGCAGTACGGAATGAACCTTCCAGCTCTAGCCAAGAACCACATGATGCCAGAATGGTGTCAAAAAGAACAGTCTCTAGAATGTGTTTGTTTATTTTGCATAACAAGTGTTCTGACTGCAGCTATGCCTGTGTCCATAGTTATAGAACCTGAAAGATAGCCTTAAGAAAGGAAAATGGCACTCATTTGTACCATAATATAAAGAACTCTAGATTATAATAAGTCAGGAGACCCAAATTTTGTACAAGACTCTGGCCCTAACTAATTATGACCTTAGATAAGTCAGGATGGAGGAGGCATGGTATCAGGAAAGATCACTGACCCTAGGTTCAAATTCCACCACCAATGATTATTCCCTATATGATTTCCAAGTCCCTTTATTTCCATGGGCATCATCTGTAAAATGGGGGGATTGGACCAGACGGCCTCTGGGGTCCATTCCGGAGCTAAAAAGCACTGGATGCTGTGACAGTACACTAGGTACCTAATCTCTCCTCCTCTCCCTTACAGCTCAGTCAGAGGCCTACAGTTGAAGAGCTCCGTGAGAGAAAGATTCTCATTCGCTTCAGTGACTATGTGGAAGTGGCCGATGCTCAGGATTATGACAGGAGAGCAGACAAGCCCTGGACTCGACTCACTGCTGCAGACAAAGTAAACAGAGCCATAAGGGAGGGAGAGGGAAAGAAAATAGCTGGAGAGCAGAGTCTAGCTCCTGCCCCGGGGATGAGGAATTTGTTATTGCATTTCACACTTGGTGTGAGGGAGCTCTCTAATGAGACAGGCCTCAAAATGTTAGTCACAATCTCAGCTGGCAACTGAATGCCAGTGGGGAGGTCCAACAGCTGGGAAAATAATAGAACTATTTCCATCACACCTTCTACCAGTGCTCCAAATAACTTGTCATCATCGCTGGAGTTAATTCTCCCCACTCTAGGAAAGTCATAGACAGAGGAAGAATACAATTGCACCCACTTTACAGAAGGGAATAAAGGAGGTGAGAGGAGGCTGATTCCACAGAAAAGGAGAGGGAGATGCCAAGGGTAGTGACCATTATCTTCTTGTATTTATTTAACATTTAAGTAAATGCATATACTTATTCTGTGCATCCTTACATTTGTGGATGGTGTCCCCTCCCAATAAAACATGAACTCCACGAGAATTAGGAATTGTTTTCTTGTCTTTATATCCTCAGCACCTAGCATGGTACTTGGTACATAGCAGGGAGACGGGGAGTAGGAAACAGGGCTTTATGACTACAGATTGATTGATTCACTCAGTTCAATATAATTCAGCAAAAGTTCCTTAAATTGGGGGGGTTTTTGTTGGGGTTTTTTGTTTGTTTGTTTTTTTGCAATATACCTAGCTGGGTGCTGGGATTACAAAGATGAACAAAAATAGAGTCCAAGTCTTCAGGGAGTTTATAATCTAATGGGAAGGTAAGATATTTATCCAAATAATTGGAGCTGGAGAAAGAACCTCAAAGGTCATATTATCCAATCCCTTTTCCCCCAGACAGGTTGTGCCATTGCCCAAGGTCACACAGGTAGTAAGTATCTATATGGGTGATGTTAAAATAGAATGGAATCCATGGGAGAAATCATACAGGTCATACAAATAACCTCTATTAAGATTCAAGGAGGGGGCAATCAATCGCTCCTGGCTAGGATTAGAGAAGACTTCAAGGTGGCACCTAAGCTAGTTCTTGAGGAGAGAGGAAGATTTCAACAGAAGGAGATTTGGGTGGTAGAAGGGGAAGGAGCCATTCTAAGCGTACAAAGACAGAGGCAGGAGAGAGTGGGGCAGAATTGGGTTGGGATTCACAAGTCAATCAGTCTGGCTCAAAACTAAGGTACATGAATGAGAGTAATGTGAAATGCATCTGAATGGAAAGCTAGAGCCAGATTGTGGAGAGCTTCAAATGCTAGAGCATAGTAGAAGCAGTACCCAGCATGAAGTCACAGGAGCTCAGCTTGACTCCACAGTCTGATATTTATTTGCTTTGGGAAGTACAAGTCACTTCTCCATGATTTGGTTTCCTCATCTGTGAAATGAAGGGAACTGGCTAGACGGCCCCCTAAGATTCCTCCAAATGCTAACTGCTGTAACCTGTGTCACCTATTTGGTGGGCACTAGGGAGCTACTGAAGATGTTGGAGCAGAGAAGTGACATGGTTAGACCTGTCCATTAGAAATATTATTTTGCATATTTACAAAATACTTTTCACACAGATAGACAAATTTAAACAATTGGAGAAATATTAATTGCCCATGGGTAGGCCAAGCCAATATAATAAAAATAACAATTCTACCTAAATTAATTTAGCTATTCAGTGCCATACTAATCAAACTGCCAAAAAGTTATTCTATAGAGCTAAAAAAAATAATAACAAAATTCATCTGGAAGAACAAAAGATCAAGAATATCAAGGGAATCAATGAAAAAGAAATGTGAAGGAAGGCAGCCTAGCAGCACTAAATCTCAAATTGTATTACAAAGCAGTAATCATCAAACAATATGGTACTGGCTAAGAAAAAGAGTGGTGGATTAGTGGAGTAGATTAGGCATGCAATACATAGTAAATAACCATGGTAATCTAGTGTTTGATAAATCCAAAGACCCCAAGGTTCTGGGATAAGAACTTACTACTTGACAAAAATTTCTGGGAAAACTGGAAAGTAGCTTGGCAGAAACTAGTTATACACCAACATCTCACAAGATATACCAAGGTAATGGGTACATATTTTAGACCTAAAGGGTGATATCATAAACAAATTAGGGGAGCAAGGAATGTTTACCTGTAATAACTATGAATAAAGGGAGAATTTATGATCAAACAAGAGATAGAGAGCATTATTAGATATAAAATGCATAATTTTGATTACATTAAATTTTTAAAATTTTGCCCAAAAAACCCCCCAATGCAGCCAAGGTTAGAAGGAAAGCAGGAAACTAGTGGGAAATTTTTACAGGAAGTTTCTCTGATGAAGGCCTCATTTCTCAAATACATGGAGAACTGAGTCAAATTTATAAGAATACAAGTCATTCCCCAATTGATAAATGGTCAAAGGATATGAATAGTCAGTTTTCAAAAGAAAAATTAAAGTTATCTATAGTCATATGAAAACATGCTCTAAATCACCATTGATTAGAAAACTGCAAATTAAAACAACTCTGAGGTACCACTTCACACCTATCAGACTGGCTAATATGACAGAAAAGGAAAACGACAAATGTTGGAAGGAATGTGAAAAAATTCAGACACTAATGCACTGTTGGTGGAGTTGTGAACTGATCCAACCATTCTGGAGAGCAATTTAGAACTATGCCCAAATTGCTATAAAATTGTGCACTCTCTTTGACCCAGCAATGCCATTACTAGGTCTGTATCCCAGAAACATCAAAGGAAAAGGAAAAAAGTGTGCGTGTACAAAAATATGTGTAACAGCTCTCTTTGTGGTGGCAAAGAGTTGGAAACTGAGGGGATGCCCATCAATTGGGGAATGGCTGAACAAGTTGTGGTATATGATTGTGATGGGAAACTATCGTGCTATGAGAAATAATGAGCAGGATGGTTTCAGAAAAAAATTGGGAAGACTTATATGAACTGATACAAAGTGAAGTGAGCAGAACCATAAGAACATTGTACACAGTAATAGCAATATTTACAACGAACAACTCTGAATGACTTAGCTATTCTGATCAGTACAGTGATAATGGGTACATGTTTTAAACATAAAGGTGATACCATAAACAAATTAGGGCAGCAAGGAATATTTACCTGTAATAACTATGAATAAGGGAAGAATTTATGACCAAACAAGAGATAGAGAGCTTCAGAAGGACTTAAAATGAAAAATGCTGTCTACCTCCAGAAAAAGAATTGATGGAGTCTGAGTACAGATTGAAGCATAATTTTTAAACTTTATTTATTTTTCTTGCTTTTTTTTGCAACATGGCTAATACATAAATATGTTTTGCATGATTTCACATGTATAATTGATATCATAATCTTGCCTTCTTAATGGGTAGGGAAGAAGCAGGAAAGAGAGAGAGAATTCAGAACTCAATTTTTTAAAACAATTTAAAAATAACAGGTTTTTTAAAATATCTTTTTGATAAAATGGAGGATGAATTAGATAGGAGGAGATACTGGAGGCTGGGGGACCTGTTCAGAAGTCTAGGTAAATAGTGAAAGTCTGAACTAGTTTGATGGCAATGGGAGTTGGAATGGATGACTCCTTGAGGGCTGGGACTGCCTTTTGCCTCTTTGTATCCCCAGACTTAGCACAGTGCCTGGCATGTAATTTGTTGTTGTTGTTGTTCAGTCATTTCCATCATGTCTGATTCTTTGTGATCCCATTTGGGTTTTCTTGGCAAAGATACTGGAGAAATTTTCCATTTCCTCTTCCAGCTCATTTTACGAATGAGGAAACTGAGGCAAACAGGGTGAAGTGACTTGACTGGGGTCACATAACTAGTAAGTGTCTGAGGCCAGACTTGAACTCAGGAAGATGGGTCTTCCTGACTTCAGGCCTGGCACTCTACTTACTGTGCCACCTAGCTGCCCTAATAGTATCGATAACAATAACACTAATAATAATAATAATACCATGTGCCTTGCTACATAGTAGGTGCTTAATTAATGTTTATTGACTAACTGACGTATTATGAAAGTCTTCAAGCTAAGGCCAAATGACCACTCGTCAGTTGTAATACAGTGGGGATTCCTTTGCTGGTGTGAATTGGACCAGGTAGCCCCTGACGTCCACCTTTCAGCTCCCCAATTCTTTCAATTTATCTGTTCATTTCAGCCAGGTCATAATAGATATGTCAAAAAATGTATAAGAGCACAAAAAGCAGAATTGTGTACATAATTGCAGTTAAACTTCACTCTTTGGGATTAACTAGAGAGAAAGGGAGAAAAAGTATGTTATACTTGGCACAAAAATAATTAATATTGTGACTCTAGATGCCCTTTTTAATAGTTGGTAATAACCAACATGGTATTTTAAAGTTTTTCTGTGCATTATCTCAACTGATCTTCATAATAACTCTATCACGCAGTGATCAAGAGTTATCATCCCCATCTTACAAATGATGAAATGGAGGCTTTGAAAGATTTAGTGACTTGCTCAAGATATACTCAGGGCTAGTTACTGCTAGGAACCAGATGTCTTGGGGAACTTGCTTTAATAAAGAGGTAGAGATTACTTGTAATAAATATTTGAATTAAAATATATATTCTTACATGGTTAAGGGCAGTAAAAACAAAACCAAAAACTACCATTCCTGTTCAAATCTTATTTACCCTGCTGTTGCATTTAGCACACCCCCTTTTAAATAGAGTAATAATAGTGATAATAATAATAATCAGCATTTACATAGCACTTTTAAGTTTGCAAAACTTAAACTCATTTGAACAAAATCAGTTACAAAAGTTAAACTGTTTCTCATGCCTGAAACACACTCCTTCCTCCACCCTAACTACTGACCATTGCAGGCTTCCTTTAAATCCCAACTGAAATCTTAACTTGTACAAGAAGCTGTTCCCAACCCTGCTTAATTGCTGTGTTTTCTCTCTTTTGTTTCCTAATTATCCTGTATATAACTTGCTTTGTATATATTTATTTGCATATTATCTCCCCCATTAGATTGTAAACTCCTTGAAGGCAAGGACTTTTTCTTGGCCACTTTTTATATTCCCAGGGCTTAGCACAGTGCCTGGCACATAGTAAGCCCTTAATAAATGTTTGATTGTTAGATTGAAAACTTTAACCCATCCTCTGTCTTCAGTAACACTAGTTTTAATTAGTGGAATCTCAATGAGTTTTTACTGTAATTTACTGCAATTTTAATAGTAATCATGTTTGCAGAGGGGTTGCTAAATGGCCAGATGAGCTTAGGACTCTCCTGCACATGGATTCTACTTTATATAGTTTAATCAGTTAAAAAATTTAACTAAAAACCTATGTGTATATACAAGGAGTCTCAAAAGTAAACTTTAAGACTTTTTGGTACACCCTATATAACACTACGCTAGATGTTGTTCAAAAGCTGATCTTTAAAGGATATGCTTGGTAGGAGCTTGCACTCTCCAAAAGAGGTAGGCCCTTCTGCGTCCTAGTTCCTCACTACCGGTAACTGATAGACCAGCCACCACTCCTCACGCTCTGCCTTTCCCTCTTCCTGCCAGCCTTCTGAATAAAGTCAGTGACAGATAATTACTTATAGCACTTTTAACTCAGTCATCTTGAGGCAGTGGACCTCTCGGCCATACTCTTAACCTAATCCTCATTCTTAAAGAATAAAGCAAGTTAGAGTGATTTCTTCAGAAAAGATACAGTGTATGGTTGATGCCAACCTCAATCTGTGCCCAACTTCCAGTGATCTGTGTTAGTTCCTTGAGAGTAGGGACAAAGACTGAAATAGTCTTTGTATTTGTAGCTCTGGCACCTAACACAATACCTGACACCTAGTAGGTACTTAGTAAATTCTAAATAGATTGAATTATAAATTCAATATTTTTACAAGACTGCCAATCACTTATTGCCCCACATACATCTGTCCTTATCCTGGCCCTCAAAAGCATCAGTGCAACATTAGCCCTGCAACACTTATCTATCTGTGCTAGAGTTACTCTGGTCCTTCTCTTCATAGAGGCATAAAGCATTGGACCTAGAGTTGGGAAGGCCTGAGTTCAAATCCAGCCTCAGACACTTACTAACAATGGAACCTTGGACATATCACTTAACCTCTGTCTGCCATCATTTCCTCAACTGTAAAATGGGAATAATAACAGCACCAACCTCCCAGGGTTGTTGAAAGGATCAAATTAAATAAAATTTGGAAAGCACTTCCCGCAGTGCCTGGTACATAGTAGGTGCTTAATATATGTTTCCTACTACTACCTCCTCTTTTACCTACTGTCTCCACTAGATTGAAGGTAAGAGGAATAAATTCCTAAAGAACAGCCAAGTGTTGGTAGTTCCAGGTACTATCTAAGTGGGAACACTCTTGCCAAGGATTGGGCTCCGGGTACTGCCCTTAGTATATCCCGAACTTCCCACATTTCATTCTACAAAGAGAGAGACAGAGACAGAGAGAAAGAGAGGGGGGAAAGGAAGGAAGGAGAGAGAGTAAGAGAGGGAGAGGGGGAGAAATAACTCACTATGCATTATGTCCTATGCCTAATGAAAGGACTATGGGAAATTCACTGATAAGAATGGCAACACCTAAACCTTGTTTTTGTCTAGGTCTGCCTTGGCCTTGCTAAAGGAAGAACTTCCGTATTTCCACTTGGCATTGTAGGGACTAAAGAGTTAGGCAAATTGGACCAAAGATTCTAAAAGTAGTTCCATATCATGAATTCTTGAAGCGTATCTTATAACAAATTCTTCAAGAGTATAACTTCTTCATGATCATGGCAGTAGATTGGGCAACCAGTACTTTCTATGTGTACCTGTCTCTCCTGGCCCTAATATACTGATGTCGTTGTGTGATCCAGAGTTATAACTAGGACAAAGGCTTTGCTCTAGAGCACCAAAATTTAGAGTGTGCAAAAAACTAACACATGTACTCCTTTAGTAGCAAAGAAGCCAATATAATGACTGACTCCGCTTCTCATCTCACCCCACACACACGCACACTCAGTTGAATTTGTCTTAATTGCTTCTTGTATTATTTTCTTATCACAAATTATAAACTTTCATGAGAGACCACCATTCTTGTTCTTTCTCCTAACTTAATTTATTGATGCTTTTTTCTAAATATATAATTTCTAGTTACAGCTTTATATGGACAGTTATGAAAGCAGAATAGATTAATTCTTCCTTTCCACATAAAGGAAGCAATTTATATATCCAGTCTCTCTTATTGGGCAGCTAGATGACTCAATGGATAGAGTACTGGGGCTAGAGTTAAGAAGACTCATCTTCCTGAGTTCAAATCCAGCCTCAGACTCTTACTAGCTGTGTGACCCAATAGGAAATGGCGAACCACTCCAGTATCTTTGCCAAGAAAACTCCAAAGGGGGTCACGAAGGGTCAGACTGAAACAATTGAACAGCAATAACAACGATGCTCTCTTACTACGGCACTTGGACCTGGAGCAGGTATTGAAACTGAGCTTCTCAGTGCCCAGCTCTCCATGTACCTTCCTCTCACTTCTCAATTAATACAGCAACTGCTAGTTTACCAAGGGATGCTAAGAGCTTACATAAGATAAGATCATAGATTTAGAACTGGAAAGAACCTCAGAAATCTGGTCCGACCCCTTCATTTTAAAAATAATGATACTGAAGCCCATAGAGGCAAGTCACATGGGTAATACGTGGCAGAACTGAGGTTTGAAGCCATGTCTCCTGATTCCAAATCTAGCGTTGGAGTTTTCTATTGTTTTACTGGCTGTAATACATAATGAGAATATCATCTCATAGTGACTTTCTAAGATATGAGGATTTACAGCAAAGGAAACAGTGAAGGGAAGAGGCAAGTGATTTACTAAATATCATATAGCTCATATGTGAAAGTGGTAGAGTCTAGACTCAAACTCAGACCATCAAATATCTCCAAGTCCAGTATTCTTGCCACAGCATAGCGTGACTAATCATCTCAAATCCAGAAAAAGCACCCCAGGAACAGGCTTGATGTCACTGATGTCATCATATAGACCTGTGCCCATTTCTATGTGAATATGCAATGATAAGATGATGTCTAATTATTTGAGCAATAAGATAACCTACTTCCTCAAAATGTTCCCATTTGGCTAGGGAGAGAAACATGAACAGGAAACAGAAGAGGAAACAGTAACACCCTGACAGACGTGCATACATTTGTCGTAATTGGTTTGCTAGCTAAAGATAATGGTCTCTCTGCCCCCACCTCCTCCCCCTCTCTGCCTCTTTCTCCTTTCCTGTGGGTCTGCTGTCATTGAGAACCTGGTGTTTTTCCATATTTGAGCTTCCATGCTGTTCAATCTATCCATAAAATCAAACATGAAGGGCATACCTAATATAATAACATTTATTTAAAGTCTTGACCCCTAAGAAAAAAATGAGAACTTCTTACTGTTATCTTCCCCCTCAACCTCTCCCAAACTCAACCTCATCCTCTCCTCACTATGCCCAGCACCGCAAGATCCTGATCACTCTCTGTTCTAACCTCACCATTGGGCAGGGCAGTGGGAATGAATTTGTGAAGGGTGGAGTAGAAAACATTGGGATTTATTTTTTTCCCAAACATATACTTGCTTCTGCAGGCTAATGACAGTATATTACCTTGGAGCTGATAAAGTAACAAGAGAAAGTATTCATAAATAAAGAATGGGGGGAGGGGGCAGCGGGAGACAGCTAGTGAACTCTTGCACTTCTCGATGTATTTTTGCATTTTGCTTTTGGAGGAATCCTGGTAGCCGGCAACGACTTTGTTTATTCACCTCAGTGAGAAAAAGGGTTGACACTTAAGCCTGAGCATGGTCATGATTTATCCATGGAGATGTACATCCATTATTGACTTGATGACTATATGTAGACGGTCTGGAGAGATAGACATACAGAGACACAGAGACAGAGACAGAGGGAGAGAGAAAAATAAACAGAAAGAGATAGAAAAAAGAAAGAGAAGAGAAAAGGGGGAGACAGGAGAGGGGAAAGAAATGCATTTCCCTCCATGATTTGCAGTTTATAGAGTCTAGGTATTCTTTTGTAGGTTCTAAAGGGGCTTCTCAGGTGTTGGGCTTTTTCTTCTCTGTGTAAAGGAATCCATTTTATGGCCCTTTTATTTCCATGGCTTAAGAAAATTTATTGCTTGAAATAAAACTAATGTATTTCTCTCCGTCTTCCTATTTACATATTTACGGGCCACTCTTCATTTCAGGCTGCCATTCGGAAGGAGCTCAATGAGTTTAAAAGCACTGAAATGGAAGTTCATGAATTAAGTAGACATCTAACAAGGTGGGTGGTAGGTGCTTTTTAAGAACTTTTTTAAAATTACCAGTAAGCAATGTCAGCTTCTAAACTAGACAGTTTTCCCGCTTTCAAGATTGGTGTCCTTGGTGTAGTTATGAGGAATGATAATAATCATCATTGTTATTAATAATAATAACTGGCATTTAAAACATACAGCACTTTAAAGTCTGCAGAGTTGCTTGACAAACATCACTGCCTTTGAGTCAGTCAGTCAATAAGCAGTTTATCAAAGCACTTTTCACCTGTTAGGTACTGTGCTGAGCACTGGGGATGAAAAGAAAGGCAAGGCAAGGCACTGCCCTCAGACATTCTAATGGGAGAGACAACACATGAGTTAAATAGTAAGTCTGAAAGGGGAAGCCATTAGCATTTAGAAAACCAGAATACGCCTCCTGTAGAAGGTAGGATTTGAGCTAAGTCTGGAAGGAAGCCAGGAAAATGAAGAAGTGGTGAAGGAATGAAGCATTCTGTGATGAGGCGTCATCATCTCCATTTTACAGGAGAGGAAACTGAGGTTTAGTGAGTTGCTCGTGGTCACATGGCTAAAAGGTATTCAGGACTGGATTGAACCCAGGTCTTCCTGGCTCCAAGCTTAGCACTCTATCCCTGAAGCTGCCTTACATAGACATGGTTGGTTTAGTGCTTAAGAGTTTAGAAAATACTGTGAAAGTATCTTAACTCATTTTATCTTTACTAAAATCTTGTTGACAGGTATCTGTTTTTTTAACAGATAATGATGAGAACTTACATTGTGACGTTTTATAACGTAATCTCCTCATAGCAACCCTGAGAAGGAAGTAGAACTTATTATCACCCTTTTTATAAATGAAGAAAATGACCTTCAAAGGGGCCAAGTGACTTATCCATGGTCACATTGCTAGAAAATGATGGTTCTATGACTAGACACTAACCCACAGGGCTCCTGACTCCCAGCCCACTGTTCTGGACTAGGGAATCAAAGGTCAGAAGGAAAGAGTTTAACATTAGGTTATTCCCTAGGGATGTGAAATTGTGTCATGCTTTTCAGTGGAAAAAAGTCAGATGTGGGCTAAAAGCCATTTTCTGTGAACCTTAGATTTTAGTTTTCTTGGGTTCTAGTTCTAGAACTAGCCAGGTGACCACAGGCAAGTTGCTACCTCTGTGGCCTTCAGCTTCTCTACATGTCACACAGCAATGATAACTACCTATGGGGGCTAGCTCAGAAGGCCAACCACAGTAAGCCTTCTACTCTTGGACCATTATCTTCTTCCTCCTCCCCAGAGGAGGGTAGACATAAACTCCAAATTCAAAAACATGCTGGAGTGCTATCAAAATACCTTAGAAATGTAAATACCTAGCTTATTTCGTTTACAGGCATCCCTGAGACTATTCTTATGAAAGGTAAAAGCAGGAAAAAAAGAATCATCTCTATGCATTTGACACCTATCAGGCTCCCCCAGAAGGAAAGCCAAATACCAAAAAGGATCATGACCTTTGATTTGACTGGCACATTACAGTTTCCAAAGTCTAATCTAATTTGACTCTCCCAATAAATGATATAGAGATCAACATAGATGATTGATGGATAGATGAATGGATGGATGGATGGATAGATAGGTAGGTAGGAAGATAAATAGGTAGGTAGATAGATAGACAGACAGACAGGCAGACAGACAGGCAGGCAGACAGACAGACAGACAGACAGACAGACAGACAGACAGACAGATAGATAGATAGATAGATAGATAGATAGATAGATAGATAAGATAGATTAGACAGACAGATATAGACAGAGAGATACAACATTTATTAAATGCTTACTATTTGTCAGGTACTACTGTTCCTTAGCATGAAGTGGTGGGGATATAAATACAAACAAGCAAGCAAATTTCTGCCCTCAAGGATTTTACATTCTAGCATAGAAAGACAAAATATAAAGAGATACTGGAAGTTTGAGTGGGGGGTGGGGGTGGGGGGTGACATGGTGAGAAGACAACAGGGAAGTGGCATGGAATCCTTCCCAGCAAAATAAGATGAAAGTTCATCTATCAGAGCTAGGAGATCCAAGATTAGAATCCAGGGTTCCAGTGGGATGATTGTGAAGATGGCAGAGGAGCAGAAGGCTTATTATAGTATCTGAGGTAGAGCTAGTAGATATTTATCATCAACATGTGACATAGAAAAGCTGAGGCCCACAGAGGTAGCAACTTTTCCAGTGATCACTGGGAACCTAAAATGATACTTGGTCCATTTCTTGGTCTTTAGTTACAAAGGAGAAAAAAAAGGTAAAAATGCCTTTGTCAGGTATTGTCAGGTATTCAGTGTTAGGAGTTCCCCGGCCTTGCTCTTTGAGAGTCATCCATCAGTTTCTTTTCCATTCCCTGTGGGTATTTGACCTTGCTTCAAACAAAGGGTCAGTGTGAGCCTTCCTCTTTTTTACATACAAAGATAAAAATTGGGTCCAATTGCACTCAACAAACAATTATTAGACACTTTATGTCACGGAACTATGCTAGATACTGTATATAAAAAGTTTTTTGGGTTTTTAAGTTCAATCTTGTCCTCAAGAAGCTTATGATCCAATATAATTACTGCAAATTTCTCATCACTAAAGTCCTTCAGAGGCTAGATAACCACTTTTTGGAGATTTTAGAATGGAAGCTCCCTGAGGGAAAAGCCCTTTTTTTTTGTCTTGATACCTCCAGTGCCTGGAACATGGTAAGCATTTAACAAATGTTTATAGACTGATTAATGTTGTAAAGGCAGGATTACAAATAAGACAAGTGTGCCTGAGGACCCCATTTTGAGGGGTGAGGGGTCATGTCATCACCTATCCACTCACTTCCCTGTTTTTTTGGCTTTTGTTTCCTTAGGTTTCACCGACCTTAGCAATTGAATTCCACTTGAGTGCTATGCTGTCTTCAAAACATGAATTTATAAGAACCATAAGTGCTGGTATTATTCACTTCTCCCATTACCATGTAAATCTTCTGAACTGCCTTTTTTTAAAAGAAGAGAAAAGAAGAAAAAATAAACATAATGAGGATTATATATATATTATATATAATATTATACATATCTGTAAACTTGATGGTTACCATTCAGTCATCAGACCTGCTGACATTAACTTCTGACAGTGAAATACCCCTCACCCCACTCCTGGCAGGGCCAAGGACAACAGCTTGGCGTCCTCATTTTAAGACTTTCTGGCATGTGGATGTGTCCTATTTGTCCAAGCCCAGCTGGTAACTGCATCCATTCTGTCTTCAGCCACCCTCATCCTCGCAAGCGTCTATCACTCAACTCCAAAGAAAGCTGAGGCAATGGGTTTCTTTCCGGGAATGACTGTACAAAGTAAAAAAGTTCAGACTGGCCTTTTAAGTAAAGTCCCAAGCACTTAAACCAAACGTGGCTTCTGCTTTGGGGAGCACCTTGGGAGGAGGAAGCAGTCGGGGAGTGCTGCTCTCAGTGACCGCTTTCCCTACACTCCCTGCATTCCATCCCTGTCTCCATCCTCCACGTACTGAACACAATGGAAAACCCTTTTCTACCTGAGTTTATAATCTACTATTGGTCACAAGAGGTGTGTGCGCCTTGAGGAGTAGAAAGTTCATCCTGGGAGCAGCTAGGTGGTGCTGTGGGTAGAGCATGGGTGCTGAAGTCAGGAGGACCTGAGTTCAAATTTGGCCTCAGACCAAGCACTTGACACTTAGTAGCTGTGTGACCCTGGGCAAATCACTTAACCCCAATTGCCTAAAAAAAAAAAAAAGAAAAGAAAGTTCATCCTGGGTAACTGATAGAATCACCTCAGACCAAAGCTGTGTCTCCTTCCCACAAAACTTGCTTAGAATGAATAAAGTCAGCATTTTTATTTCTTGACGAAAAGTGGATGACCCACAAGTGTTAAGAGATCAGAATGTCACTGGTGTTCACACACACTCACACACACACACACACACACACACACACACACACACACACATCCCTGAATGTTATTGAGGTATGATGGCTATGTGGGCATGTACATGTAACACCTGCTTTATGGGAACAAGGGCCTAGGTAGCTACTCTGCTTAGCTAATGTTCTTAATTTTCCTAACATGCTCCAATGCTGTTTTTGTCAAGTGCACCATTTTAAGGTTATACGTGTCTTGGAAGTGAACTGGGCACAGCACCAGAGTTTGAAGGCTGAATGCAGAAGTTCATGCCACTGACATTGGTCCTTAAATAACAGATGGGCCCCTCCTCTAAAAACACCACACTTGGTGACTTTCCATTCCCTCATCTTTTGCTTTGAAAAGTTCACTTGGAGACATATTGACGATTCTCCGTGAGCTCAGCATGCATCAGAACTGTACAGCTATGAACACCAGCCATCCTATGGTGCACCCTATCGATCCTTTAAAACCAGCATGAATTTTTTTTCATCTCTTTCATAATGCACATAAGAATGAGTTTATCTATGAGATGGTTGGCCTGATCTGGGCAGTAAAAAGAAAATGCACTGATCTTGGGGGAATATGGATCTCTCAATGTGTTATAATGAAAAAGGCAACTCTGGGCATAACAACTACTATCTCTCAAGGGAATTATATGTGGTTTAGTTTTGCTTTTGAGAGAGCCAAAAGTCCTGAATGGCAAAGTTCTACCCAGATATCTGTGAAAATTTGCTTGTCACTCTAATAACTTATTGTGATCCTTGGATTCTCCCCCTCATGTACATTTTGCTTAGAGGTAAACTAACTAGGTCTTCATACAAGCAAAAAGAGAGGTAATCCCATCACCATCCCCACCTCCACCACCACCACCACCATACACAGGATACTTGATTTATGGCAGGAGGAAATCCCTCTTCAAATTCCTGCCAGTAGCTGGGGTCGTGCTGCTTTCAGGGGGTCAGCATATATCTAGGCCAGCTCAGGATAGTTCCTCAGGGCAGAGCTCACCAGCTAAGGGACCTTCACCCATGAGTTCCTCCATGCCATCAGGAAGGAGCATTGCAGGGGGTCATCTTGGCGTGTATGTTATTCCTGAGGCTTTTTGTCTTTATTCAAATGTTGAGTTCCACTATTTATTGTCTTGAGAGATATTTTGTTCAGGGAGAATGTGTCAGGATTTTAATACCTCTGTAAATAAGATCTTCCCAAAAGGCTTACTGACATGTGAATGTGAAAGTGACTTGATGAAAAATTTAGGACCCTATTGTTTGATTCCTCTACCCAGTATTGAAGGTGCTGGAATTGTGTTGGTTTCCAGGCTGAGGGGAATTGGTTTTGCCTACCCCAGTCTTGTCTCCAGTAACTTCCAGTAACTTCTTCAAGAGATACAATACCCCTGGTTTTCCCTTGGAGTAGGGGGAAGCATCTTCTGCAGGCTAGATACCTCTCACCAAGGTTTATCGATGCCTCTGCTCTGCTTTTCAAGTCTTCCGAGGGCTCGATGTAACAACATTCCTGTATCTCACAAGGAGCCAACCAGCAGAATATCTGGGTTTTCTCCCCAAAGTGCCCAACTGCTGCAGTCCACTTTATACACAGGAAGATTAACCAAATTTGTTTTTGCCTTCCTGCAAAGCACCTTTTTCCCAGGCATCATTTGCACTGTCAGATGTGTGTCCTCACAGCCCTCTGACAACAGTGGGAATGTGTTTGCAGAGCCAAGGTGGGCTATTTCCAGCTTCATTTATATGGTTCTTATGCCCACCCAACTCCCACCATCTGCCATGGGTAGCACCAACAAATATGGACTGCAGGCTGAGGCCCTCTAATCTATGGCTGTTTTTGCAATACCTTGAGTTCTCTGTGGAAATCTGTCATTTCTTTTTTACCACATTGCTATGTCAACTGAGCCAATACACATTACTGTGTAAGACTTTAACTCCAATGCAGACAGAAGAGGTGTGGCCTAGATTCTGTTTAAACTGCATCCCTCTTCAGAGGAAGCTGTAGTTTTTTAATGAAGGCTTCTTTCATGTGATATGAATTCCCAGTACTCAAAAATCTATTTGAACATCTGGATTATCATAAGAAAAATATGTACTATTTCTAAACGAATATTTGAACATCTGGCTTATTTTAAGAAGGGGGGGGATGATGTGATATTTCTAGCCAAAGTTAACTTTACCAAACATAGACTTTCCTTAATGCTGGATGAAAAAGATCACTATGTATATTTCCATTTTTTTTTTCGTTCTAAGGCCAGTTCGTCCTCAGTTACAACAGAATGGAATTGGAAGGGACCTTTAAAATCATCTAGCTCCACCTCTTAATTTGAAACTCAGAGAGGTCAAGACTTTCCCCAGGTCACATAGTAAGTCGAGGCTCTAGGATTTGGTGTTAAGTCTCTTGACTCCCAAGTCTGATGCCACTACTCCACATAAATGACATTGTTTCTGCATCCAAGGACATAGTGGATCCCCCAAACCTGGGGCTTTCCATTCAATTAGAGGAATTGCACAGAGTGATGGTCAGTGAAATAGAAACAACTGTCAAGGTTTCATTCTTTTCCCTTCTTGAGAAAGTAGCATTTACAAACTGCAGAGTCAATATGGTGGCACGCATTCAGAAGAATGGTATCTTTAACATTCCTTCATGCACAGAGAGTTAGCCGAGGGCACCTGAAATGGCTTTTTCCCATGTGTCTATTAAATCCAGAACCAGCTGCAGTGTCTGTACATAGCTCGTCTTTGTATAGGAGTGAGTGTGGTGGCTGTCAAATCCTGTGCTCTTCAAGTATTGTAATTGACCAGATCATGAACAAGAAATTATCTGTAAATAGGAAAACAATTAAACTGGATCTCTGTATCCTGGGTTTTGTACATACAGAAACTGCATGGTATTTAAATTATTGTTTGTCTCTGATGATGTATGCAGTTTCTTTAACAACAAAAAAAGGTTTTAAAAAAAAGTGTCACAGTCTCTTGTCTGTTTTCTTCAGCTACAGGGCTCATTCTTAAGCAGAAGATACCTATGGGCACTTGACGTTTTAAAGGAGTTCTTAACTGTTAGTCTGGGGAAGCCTATGGAACCCCCTACTTAGAATAATGGTTGTAAATGAATAAAATAAAATGCACAGGATTACGAAGGAAACCAATTCTACTGGAATATAGTTACCAAAATATTAAATAAAACAAATTCACAGAACTGCCACTCTGCTCCCAGTGAAGAGCATAACTCTAGAGCTAGAAGGGACTCCAAAGGCCATCAACTCTAAGACCCTCATTTTACAGGTGAGGAAACCGAGGCCCAGGAAAATTAAACAACTTGTTCCGGTTACACAAAAAGTAAACATCAGAAGATTTGAACCCAGGTTCTCTACCTCCACAGGGCTTTCTCTCATTAGTAGAGAAATGATATAGATGAAAGAAGAGATACAGGAAAACTTCTCATCTAACATTCCCTGGGGAAAGTAGGGACTCAGGTTCCAGATAACTGAAGCTTACCTTAAAATATTTATTTTTTCATTTCATACCATTTAGAATGGAAACTATTCTAAAATGTATTATAATTCTTTCCTGCCATCTTTGAATATTGGGAATGTAATTTAGTTTTCTTGACATTTCAGTACATCAGTATGAGCACTTGTTTTATACTGAAATAATTTATTATAAATGACAATATTAGTAACATGCTTAGAACAATGCTGACACATAGTAGGGACTTAATAAATGCTTATTCCCTTGCTCTCTCCCTACTGTGTCAAGCAATATTCTCAGGAGCTGCTGAGTCATATAGAGCTGTTTACTCCAGAACCATAAAATTTTAGTTTTGGAGCTAGAAAGGACTTGGCTATATGGCCAAGTCTACTATATGGCCAGACTACTAGATGTTTGAAGTTTAAGTATGTTTTTATAGGGTTTTTTTTTAACCTTCTCCCTTGCTGTCAGGCTATCAGTATTTACTGTTTGACTACTCAACCAACCTCCTTTCACTTCCATATTAGATGTGCATT